GTACTAATCTCATGAGTCCATATATTGAAATTACACTTAATATAAAAAGCTATTGTAAAATTAAATTTCATGCTTACTTAGATACAGGAAGTACAATAAGCTTATGCTTACCAAATGTACTACCATCTGAATACTGAATATACAATTCAAAGAAGATAGTCACCGCTACAACAGCAGGTGAAAATAAGGTAATATACAGCAAATATGCTACGAAAGTACCTTTTCTAATTTCCTTTAGAGAAGTATTTGTTGATACAATAGACATGTCAACCACAATTGGATGTGATATTTTATTAGGACAAAATTTCCTATTAAAATATGCACCATTCACACAATATATTGATAAATATATGTTCACAACACCTTGTGCACATAAAATATTTACACCAAAAATAAATAAAGCTGTTACAATAGCATATATAGATATAAACCATCAAAGTTCCTCAACCCAGCGTGGTGGATGTTTGAGTACAGAAAAATTTAAACTAGTTACAGTCTTAAAAATGACAACAGAAAATAGGATTGAAAAACTGAAAAATGAAATTTTTGAAACATATTCTGAAAATTCATTAGAAAAATGGAATATAGACAAAGTAAAAGCAAAAATAGAATTAACCAATCCAAACACAATTGTAAGAGTCAAACTTATGAAATATAGTGTTGATGATAAAAAAGAATTTAAATACCAGATAAAAGAGTTGCTAGAAGGCAGATTGATTAGGCCTAGTAAAAGCTCACATAGCAGCCCAGCCTTTATGGTTAGAAAACATAGTGAGATAAAAAGAGGAAAAACCAGAAAATGGAACGTAATGCCATTTGGGTTGAAAAATGCACCACAGATATTCCAAAGAAGAATGGACGAGGTAATTAAACCAATTACTCATTTTTGTTTATATTATGAAAAAACATGGTATTACACTTTCTCAAAAGAAAGTTGAGATAGTTAGAACAGAAATTGAATTTTTAGAATTATTTATAAAAGAAGGAGAATTGTAATTGCAATCTCATATTGGATCAATCCTTTAGGACAATACAAGTGGAACGTAATGCCATTTGGGTTGAAAAATGCACCACAGATATTCCAAAGAAGAATGGACGAGGTAATTAAACCAATTACTCATTTTTGTTTATATTATGAAAAAACATGGTATTACACTTTCTCAAAAGAAAGTTGAGATAGTTAGAACAGAAATTGAATTTTTAGAATTATTTATAAAAGAAGAAAAATTGCAATTACAATTCCATATTGGAGAAAAATTTCAAGAATTTCCTAAAGAAATTAAAGATAAAAAATAATTACAAAACTTTGTTCGTATATTAAATTATGCTGAAGAATTCATTGAGAATTGTGCAAATTAAAAAATTATTTTCTTCCAAAATTAAGAGAAAATATTATGTGGTCTTGCAAAGAACAAGATTGTGAAAATATAAGGAAAGTAAAAGAAGAGTTAAAGGTATTGCCCAAACTTGTAATACCACGAGAAGAAGATTTATTTATTCTTGAAACTGATGCTTCAGATTATTACTGGGGAGCAGTATTAAAGGTGAAAAAGAATCATAAAGAATATAAATGTGAAAAAGATTGTTCTTATCCTGAGATACTTGCAAGTTATACATCAGGAACATTAAAAGAAATTGAAACAAGATATGAGACGAACAGAAAAGAACTCATTGCTGTAAAAGGGGGAGTTCAAAAATATGAAAATTATTTATTACCAAAGAAGTTATTGATTAGAACTGATAATACTCAAGTCAAAACATTTTTGAAAAATAATGTTGATCCATCTATTGCCAATAGATATATTATTACTTATTAGGATACAAATTTGATTTTCATATTTCAAATTTGATATTGAATATATAAAAGGTAAAACTAACTTTCTTAATAATTATCTTAGCAGGGATGGAGTTATAACAACTAAGGATGAAAGTCCAGATACTTGAGATAAAAGTTTCCTATTTGGAAACACAAATTCAAAATATCCAAGATAGCCTTCGAGGCAAAAATATAGCCCTTAAGGCAGAAGTTACTTATACCAAGTTTAGTACCCCTTCGTAGGAATTTGTGAATACTAGCGCTCTCTCCAAAGATAAAGAGAAAAAAAAGAAGGTAATAGGAACCCCTTCACAGGGAAAATTTGAACATATAACTGGTAATAAAGATATTCAAGATATCAAAAGAGAAGGTAGCTCTTCACATAACCAAACTCAATCTAAACTTTCTATTGAAAGGATAGATCCAAAAGATATTATCAAGATATGCCATGAAACAAAAATTCCCAGAAAAGATAACAATGAAGAAGTAAAACTCTTTATTGTTATTTTCAATATTTTAACAGATTGGTATCTGGAGATTGGAAAGTGGATGAAGACTCTCCACTATTCAAAATACAACAAGATAAATTTTTATCCAAGAGCATCTGGGTTCGAAATTGTTTTGAGATGGGAAATATACTCTATATATATCACAATAAAGATCTCAAAGAAATAACTCAGCTTCTAGCCAAAATCAGAAAAGTTGTTAAGAGATATACTGAAGTTGTCAAGACAACAAATATATATATATATATCAGATTCCATTCAACAACAATGGAATGAGATCCCGTTTTTGAATTTATGCATATATCATTCCATGTTATCAAAATGAGATTTACCAACCAACATTTTTTACCAACCAATCAAAAGGTTGTTAAAAATGGATATCAAGATATTTTAAATATGATACCCTACAGAAGAGCAAAAGGGTACAAAGAAATATTTGAACATGTAACCCAAATAATTGCCGAGAAAGAAAAAATACGGGTTTATCCATCTGAAGATCACATTATCTACTCCAATGCATGGATGGCCACCAAGGAAGAAGATATTTGTTATCTTGACCATTTATTATCTGCAATTATTTCCAACCAAGTGCATGGATCAGAAGATATGGCTAAAGAACTATGCAAATTACTTTGAAACTACAGTGATCACCATTGTGAATACTGCGTAGTTGAAGATATGAGTCAAGCATCTCTTAACAGTGAAGAATTCCTTGCAGAATTCTTTTGTTCAAAAATGAAAAAGTGATGGTGACAAAAGTGGCCCTTTATCACTACTTTAATAAATAAATTTATTAAAGAAAAACTGTGGCCACTAAAAGACAGAAGATAATGCAAGAAAGTCTCCATTATTGTGACCACTTATCTACCAGTTGTCAAAAGTGGGAGACAAATTTAAAGATAAGGCAAATAATTTCAAAACGAGGTGCCCACCTAGCAAGAAGATAATGAAAAAATCGGTGGAGATAAGACTTTTGAGCTATCCAACAAAAGGAAGTGGAAAACACCTGTCAAGATAAGATTCTCAAAGGCTTCTATAAAAGGAGGTAAGAAGGAAGAAGGAGGACACCTCGAAACAACTTATCTCTTAAACACTCTGAAGAAACACATCTGGGAGAGATACCTTTTGTAATCTGTATACACCACTTGTATTCAGAAAAATATTAGATAGCTTGGAGATAGCAAAGCTTGTAATAAGGTAATCACTTATGGAGTTTTAAACTTTATAAGGCGAGTATCAAAGGTATGTAAAGATAGATTGTAAGCATGTATTATTTCAATTTATGAATATCAAAGTAAAGTTTGTTATGTTCAACAAAGTTTTCATAAAAGGATTTCGTTAAGTTTTTCATGATTCCTCGGCAGTATAGATAGAGATTTTAAAAGATTTTCAAAACATTGATTTTGAATGGATGTTAGCCATGCCAAAGTACCCGTCTTTGATGAATGGTTGAGGGGAAAAAAGCAATTTTCTAACAAAATTGTAGCACCTTGTATGTGAATTATATTTTAAAATTTCGTTTCAAGTAAGAACTTGATTCTGAAAAGAGTTTGGATAGAGGTGAAAATAAAGACTTTGAATACTGTGAGATAGCGTCTGCGGCAACACGGTTAGTTCTCCAGAGTGAGAAATGCAATTTTAATTGAAAAACCTTTTGCGGAAGCAGTTGTGGACCCAAATGATTTTAAAAAACATTTTAAACATCTACTTGATTCAGAAGAAATTCCTCGACAGTATAGATAGAGATTTTAAAAGATTTTCAAAACATTGATTTTGAATGGATGTTAGCCATGCCAAAGTACCCGTCTTTGATGAATGGTTGAGGGGAAAAAAGCAATTTTCTAACAAAATTGTAGTACCTTGTATGTGAATTATATTTTAAAATTTCGTTTCAAGTAAGAACTTGATTCTGAAAAGAGTTTGGATAGAGGTGAAAATAAAGACTTTGAATACTGTGAGATAGCGTCTGCGGCAACACGGTTAGTTCTCTAGAGTGAGAAATGCAACTTTAATTGAAAAACCTTTTGCGGAAGCAGTTGTGGACCCAAATGATTTTAAAAAACATTTTAAACATCTACTTGATTCAGAAGATTGATTAAATACATGCAAAGCATCTATAAGAACATACTGGAGGGAAAGCCTGTTTACTTCCATTTGATTACTGTAAGTTATTTACTTATTTTTACATGCTTATGGTTTAATTATTCTGATAAACAATTCACAAGCATCCACTTCCATTACTAATGATGATGATAATCTTATATTATTAGATGAAAAAGATATTTCATTTTTATTCAAGTTAGCAGAAAAATCTGAAGATATATTTTCTGTTGGTAAAGAAAAAATCGAAAAAATATATAGAGAAATATATTATAATTGTAAGAATAATATAAGATTTGATTCTGTAGGGACTAGTAGAGAGATAAGAAAAGTAGAAGATATTATAACTATATATAGAGATATATAAGAAGAAATTTCAGAAGAATTAGTTCGAGGATATATAACCAAGAAAGGTCAGCCTAGGATTTTTAAAGAATTATTAAGATATAAAGAATATTTAAAAGTGTTTGAAAGATTGAAAAATATAGATATAGGTCCTGATTAACAAATTTCTAAAGACACAGAAAATATTTTACAAATAATTATATAAAGACAATATGGTACTTCGAACTGAAAAGGCCATTGTGGAAAATATGATCAATTTTCTAGCCATTCTAAAGACTACCCCTATACTGACGAAGGCTATGAATGCTAAGGAGCAGCTTCACGTAGTCCACTCATCTCTGATCTCTCTCTCTCTGCTTATTCTTCAATTCATGGCTACTCAAGGTCAAGTTATTACCTGCAAAGGTACTCTCTCTCTCTCTCTCTCTCTATATATATATATATTTATATGTGTATCTATGTGTGTACAATTTGGACTCTACGCTAAGGTAGTTTTATTTAGCGGCGGTGGCATGGGAACCAAACAAGCCATTGGTGATCGAGGAGGTGCAGGTGGCGCCGCCGAAAGCCGGAGAGGTCAGGGTCAAGATCCTTTTTTCTGCTCTCTGCCATACCGACGCCTACACCTGGAGTGGCAAGGTACTGTATAAATGTGTAAACTTGTACTATAGGCCCTGTTTGGTACATATTCTCCGGATAAGGTAATTTTGATTGTGTACCATAATTTTTTCCTATTTTTTAACCATACATTATTAAAAAAATATCATTTTTTACAAAAATCTATTCTCAAAAATCTACAGGCCCACATACGGAAATGCTGATTGAATCAATATTTTTTGTGAAAAAAATTGCATTGCATTTTTGAATTAGGGTATAAGTATTTGCAAGAAGAAGTTCGAATTTCTGAATGATTTTTCTTTTGTAGGATATTAAAGGCGAGTTTCTTGTTAGTTTTCGTATAATGAAGAAACTTTGTAGCATTGAATTTTGTAAAATTCAAATGATTGATTCATGGGATTTAAAAGACTCAGGCAAATTTGACGGCTGATCATGTGAGCCTCAAATGAAGGCTGAGCTTGATGTGTTGACTATGATGACAGGCTCAAGTCAAGCCGAATCGAAGAGTATTTTTAATGCTTTTTATTTAAGTGGATCGAATTGACAAGACAAACCTTCGAAATTGTTTAGGCCTTTCTCGCTTTACAAGATAAGCTGATGATGAATGAGTCCGTTATGACTTATGAGCCTAGTTTCAGTTGATCTCATGAAGCAGCAAAATAGTAACTTTAGGTTTCTGTGAGTAATATAATAGTGCAGTTTTAGGAGTTTCTGTGAAGATGGATATAGAAGGCCTTAATGTATTTGGCTATTGTTTACATCATCATTGATTTAGGGAGGAGATATCTTGCCTACAGGTGAGGTGGCAAGATGGTATTTTAGACCTCACCCCACCGGTGGGCAAAATATCAGTCCATTTGTTTACATTTGCTACTGAGAACTGGTACAGGATCATCAAGTCCACGTTTTCGTAAATTGCTTTTGAAAATTGCAAATGTTAGATTAGAAATCATGCAAACTTTAAAATCTGTTCAGAAAATGTTATTTTTAGCTTAGATGGATCAAATCTCGTGTTCACGGTCAATGGTGGTTCTACTACGACATTTCAGCACACCTAATTCATCCCTTCACGCACCCAAAGAAGGAGAGGAAATGAAATAAGGAGGAATAACCAACTTGAGTCTATTGGTGTTCTTATAGTACTTTTTCTGTGTGTTCTAATCCGTGGTTATATTCTTTTTGAAGGATCCCGAAGGTCTCTTTCCATGTATTCTTGGTCATGAGGCTGCAGGGTATGTTTTGTTTTAGTGTTGCATGGATGCACACTCCTATTGCAGTTGAACTTGGACCCTTTTCTAGTGAAGAAATGTTGGGGTAGAATTTGATTCTTCTATTATAATTGTAGAATAGTGGAAAGTGTTGGAGAAGGTGTTACTGATGTTCAACCAGGAGATCATGTCATTCCTTGCTACCAGGCAGAATGCAAGGAATGCAAATTTTGCAAGTCTGGAAAGACAAATCTATGTGGAAAAGTAAGGTTAGCTACTGGAGCTGGAGTTATGTTCAGTGATCGCAAGAGTCGTTTCTCAGTCAATGGAAAACCTCTTTATCATTTCATGGGAACATCAACATTTAGCCAATATACTGTTGTCCACAACGTCAGTGTTGCAAAGATTGATCCTAAAGCACCTTTGGAGAAAGTGTGTCTTCTTGGTTGTGGTGTTTCAACAGGCAAGTCGCTTTCCACTTTCTTCTTTTATGTTCGCATTCGATGCTCGCTTTCCACTTTCTTCTTTTATGTTCGCATTCAATGCTTTCTTATGATTTATCTGTAACTATATAGCATTTTTTATTTTATGACATATCTCAGAAATGATTACTTTTATTCCCTTGCGTGAAATTTATCATTCACGAAATTTTACCTTAAACCCAATGCTAATTAATGAAATCCTCTAATGTCCATTACTTTTTAGTCATGTTATTGTACTTTATAATCCTTTGGTAATTCTCCCAACTCTGTTACTGGTATTGTGATTTTCTTCTTTAAATGAACTTGCTTCTTGCTGGCGAGCTTTTACTTTTAAATAGAAGAGAGGTAGTCACAATGGGTTTGGAACTCGAAACACCACATCCCCCTCCACCACCAGTTTGTGCACAGATCCAGATTTTACTTTGTTCCTTTAACTTATTTTTAAGTATCCGTATCGATCATATTCCAGTTGTGATTATCTGTGTGACATGTCTTTATCACATTCTTCATACTGCATAGTTTGCTTTCTCTAGGCCTTGGAGCAGTTTGGAATACAGCAAAGGTAGAACCAGGTTCAATAGTTGCTGTTTTTGGCCTTGGCACCATTGGACTTGCTGTAAGTTTCATAATTATCTAATTCTAGTTCTAATCATATAGTTATGATGATGAATATCTTGAGTCCTATTATAGGTGGCAGAGGGTGCAAAAGCTGCTGGTGCTTCCCGAGTAATTGGAATAGACATTGACCGTAAAAAATTTGATACAGGTATTTAAGTTCTTAAAGTGTACTTGTTTGCTTACTGGTGATTGGTGAAGAACTGAAACATTTTCATTTATCATTATTGGTTCAAAACTACTATTTGCAGCAAAGAATTTTGGTGTCACTGAATTTGTCAACCCAAAAGACCATGAGAAACCTATACAGCAGGTTATCGTGGATATGACAGATGGTGGTGTCGATTATAGCTTCGAGTGCATTGGGAATGTCTCTATAATGAGGGCTGCTTTAGAGTGCTGCCATAAAGTAACTTCTTCAAAAATTTGTTTTCGAATCATGCAATGTCATAACCCTGCATTCGAGGATGCTGAAATTTTGGTTTGTCTTGTAGGGGTGGGGAACATCAGTCATCGTGGGTGTCGCAGCATCTGGTCAAGAAATCTCAACCCGCCCATTTCAGCTGGTGACAGGTCGTGTCTGGAAGGGCACAGCTTTTGGTGGTTTCAAGAGCCGTTCTCATGTCCCTTGGCTTGTCGACAAGTATATGAAGAAAGTAAGTTCATTAATTTCCCCAAACCTGCAATTTTTTTTTTTTTATCGGTAACCTTCTTGCAATTTTCAAACTCGATTTCTTGTCCACCTTACAGGAAATCAAGGTTGATGAATACATCACTCACAATTTGACTCTTGTGGACATAAACAAAGCTTTTCATCTGTTGCATGGAGGAGACTGCCTCCGCGTGGTTCTGAATATGAATGTTTGATGTGATTCGACTGGTATGGATGTGGGTGAAGAGGGGTTTGATCCTGAATATCATATTGACTTGGAAAATAAAAAGATTTGTATCGACTCATATTATGCTATCAGTAATGAGTTTGCCTTCTATTGGCGTCTCTATTTCTGTGTGTCATTGAATTTGAAAATCCTATTAAGTGATATACTTGATTGATAATAACTTCATCCATCCAGTTTAGAATTTCTCTTCTTTTGTCCAGATCTGCATAGTAACTGCTATCTGTTCTCAACTATTGAGATCGAGAAACATGATACAAGTTAATTCAAAATATGAAAGTACCTTTAGCATGTTTAGTGGGCAAGTACAAAACTGAACAAAAAAAAAACTTCATATTGTCTTGTCCAATCATTTAAACCGAACATGCCATCAAAGTTATTCGATTAACCTGTCTCAATTCACAAAATCCATAGATCATATAGGTTTCTTCACCACTTCAGACATCTAGTAACAAGCACTTTAACAAGGTCACATATTTAAATAAGCTCAAAAATCTATCTGGCTATTCAAGATTTTGGACTCACCAACAGACACCGAGTGGGAATCATCTATTTGAACAATTTGCATTCGGCACTTTGATACATACATAGCAGCATCAAAAGCCTAATTATGAGCTTGGCAATGTTGATCTGAAATCAAGTCTCAAGTTTTCCAGTATGCAGCAGTATATTAACATGCTGGAAAAAGAAGTAAAAAATTAATCAAACAGACTGATTTACCAGAAAAATCCATTTAACAAGAGGCAGATAAAGACTATTCGCAAGTACCCAAGTTTTTGGTGCTAGAATCTGTGTTTAGAACACTTCTTATAAATCTAGTAAACAACAAACCTAATGAGCATTATAGAAGCACTTTAACTGCCCGTAACAAGAAAATAATTAACAATGTGAAAACCACGTGTTTCATATTCATGCCTTAAAATCCTAGTGCCTGGTAGTAAGCAAATGAACAGTCCAACTCTGTCCTCCAATGCTCCTATTGTATGGAGAGAACTTCTATTGAAAATTAGACCATGATTGTAAAGCGAAAATGTAATAATGAAATTGAAGACATCGTCTATATGAACACCCATTTAGGCATTCCAAACGAACATTACTGCATGCAGATATATGCTCAGGCAAATAAATAAATGACAGGGCACGCCACTCGAAAGTGGTAAGAGAAAACTCTCCAAGGTAGAAGATATATTCCATCCGGGAAACGAGTTAAAGATCTATTATAGCGAGTATATTTCAAGAAAGACAGGAAATGAATAATTGAGAACTGGAAATAAAAGATTATATGCGTTGAACTATATTGAAGACGGATAGTAAAATCAAAACATTAAAAATCCTAACTACATACACGCTTGAGTTAAGACATACTTATTTTCTTTGGGAAAGAAAGGAAAGGGGATCATGAAAATGTTATAAAATCAATGCCAGCCGAATGTAGAACAAATAATAGAAGGAAGAACGCATTTACTTTTGAATGTAGAAATCCACCTTTGCAGGAATTATATAGTTCACTGAGATGGCCAGCCGAATTGGTATAATTGGCTAGTCTAATCAATTCTTCATCATCCAGTTGTCAGTCCCAGGCCTTAAGCAGACTATAATTCCATTGCAGCCCATATGTAAAACCAATATGTGTTTTCTCTGTTTATTACTTGGCAATGCTTTGACATTTTTGTGACTGCTCAGCGAAGTGCCCAAAGGCAACCATCTAGATTATTGCTGCAGAAGTAGACAGTTGAAAACCATAAGGTGGAGCAAGTAATAGTCCGTGATTAAGAACAGAATCAAATGTATAAACACTAACATTTTATACGAAGTGTGATAGTTTCATACCATTGCAGAACACTATCACTATTCCCAGGAATAAACTGACATGGGGTCTGTTGGAATAGTTCCACATCAGTTAAAACTCTCGAATTCATAGTTGCCGGCAGGAGCTACGGTGCATGACTACTGATTTCGTATCATCTTGGATCACTTTGCACTTGTCCCTTCAAGATAATACGAGAGTGAATTTCTCAACTTTCCAAAAAGCATTATTTTTCAAATTTATTTATAATGAATGAATGGCAGAACAATAAAGGCAAAAATGTAAAGCAAAGGAAAATAAGAGTACTTCTAGATAATTATCGTCCCAATTAGTCATCTATATAAAATAGATAATCACAATGATGGTAATACACACGTATGCCTACATAAGATGATACAACGCCCAATATAATGGCTGAGCAGGGGATTATTATGTAGAGTAAACTAAGATCTAGGTCGTTACACGTGCCGAAGTATTTATCCTTCTCACGCTTCCACCTACCATAGTTAGTATCAGAGACAAGGATGCGGCCATAAATAGAAAAGAAGGTAGCATAGTTGTAAAGGACCAAAAGAGTTGTTATGCATAGCCAAAAAACTTGATTACCTTTTTAACCAAGAATAATATTACAATGCTCATTATGATAATCAAGAAGGCAGCCATAAAGTTTAGGTAAGCACCGACACGAACAAATGTGTCCGACACATTGATTAAATTCTTTATTTATATAATAAAAAATTAGTTTTATACATGTTACTAATTTTTCTTGTCAAAATCTTTTGAATATGAGTACTTATTTGTTATTTAATACTAATTTTGAATTAAAAATATATAATATTTCTTATATTAAAAAAAATGACCATGACAGACTGTCCAAGTAGTGTCGGTATCTAACACTTGTTCAAGAGCGTCTGAGGAGTGCTGGATACAGACACGCTACCCTAATTGAAATGTCCGTGCTACTACTTAATTATTCCATATTGATCATGAAAGTTCCATTTTCTCCAGTTTGGTCACCATTTACCATCCGTCAACAAGACCAATACTCAAAGTTTATTGTTTAAAAAAACCATTTGAAGCATACACCTCAAATACCACCTTATGTGAGGCTTTCAAAAAAATGCCTTGAAACACTCACCTTAAATGCCTCTTGTGTGAGGCGTACACCTTGAGTTTCTAAGGCTTACTCCTCAATGCGACTACGACTAAGGTGTTCGCCCTTAATCTTGCATTTCTCTGACATATAATTCCGATGATAGCTTTTTGGGCCATTTCTAACACGAGCGTAATAATTTGACAACAAACAAGAAAATGAAAAAGGAAAAGAGAGGGAAGAAATTAGGGCAAAGAAGAAATCAATTTATTCATATATTCAAGGGTAACTTTTTACAATGAATAAGCCCTTCGTATATAGAATTTCCACTTCCTTCATCGAGAACCACACCTAGACACTCTCAACCATGACATTTGCCATTTTCAAAGTGATGTCACTGTGAGTTTCAGGTTCTTCTTCTTGAGGGTATAATGTCTTTAGATAGGAGTAATTCATGTTGTCAATTTTGCGAAATAGTGAAGAACCTTAAATTTTCACTTTTGTGCAAAAATGAAACTTGACAGGTTCAATCTATTCTTCATAAAATAGGAAAAAAAGTCCTACAAATTTGTCAAATTGTTCTTTTTAACGGAGCCATTGTGCACAACAAAATTTCCATCAAATGTGTGACAGTTAGTCTCACTAATGTTTGGTGATTGAGCACCCAAACCAGAGCTAAATGAAACTTTGATGATCGATTTTGTCTTATAAATTTATTGGTTTTTTAATTACAATAATAAATTGACTTTTCTTGGTTAAATTTAGAGATGAATTGAATCCTTAGAGTGATAGAATTTTCAATTAAAACCAAATTGGAGAGTCAAGTTTTGGAAAGATTATCACGCCTAAAAAAAATCGCGACATGGAATGCTCATGTTTCCGTAACATATTCTCATAAATTTGAACTTTACAAGGAATAAATATTTTCCGATATTATTCCATGGTGCTTAGAAAGAGATTGTGTTCCCTTTTATAATAGATGGTAATCTTTGATCTTATGGAAATATGCTTAGATGTTATAAGCAAAAAAATCAACTTTTCGACGCATCATCTTATATGTTTATATTTACTAAAGATTTTCCATGGACATTATTTGCAAAGTATCTATAGATTCTATCTTGGAAAATTTAAGTTCTTGATTATCTAGGGTTTTGACGTGCTGGTCTATATATTTTGAATTTGATGTTCACGGAAGGATACCCAACTCTCACGTAAAGATGCACAACATATATAGACATATGAGCAAATTTTTTGTGATGTCAATCAGTTTCTCAGCACTTTAATTTTATAAAGGGTGTACGTGAAGCCTAAATTTATCATAAGTTGATCTGAATCGTCAATGCTCCATGATTAAGTTGTTCTAGATTTAGAACAATTCTTAGACTTGCAAAAATTGCATTCTCTTTTTCTTTATTTTCTTTGTGTGTTATACCATTTTTGTTGCTCAAGTTAGGATTTGTTTTTGGCAAAAGGTGTTGAGTCTAAGGTTAACAAGCTAGCTTGACCTGGCATATCCAGAAGAAAGGCAAATTGGCTATAAGTAGATACTGGTCTTGCTCCAATTTGTCATTATTTATTACAATTACAACCGAATTGGTGTAAAAATCGAGATGAAAAGTTTTGATTCCATTCTTGCTTGGTGGAGATAAAAACTCAGGGCTTTGTTGTCTTGTAATTACGATTATATTCATTATATTTTAGATGGGGATTAAAAATTTTATAAATCCAAAAATTGGTTGATTGTAAGTTGTAACCTTCATTTTTAGTAGATTTTTGCAGGACAGGCGTATGATTCCCTAGTTGGAAGTTTTATCTAGGAGTAGGTACGGGTTAAGTTAACCTTTAATTTTTAAATCGATATTTCGCATTGGATTGAAGCCCAACCCGAAAATCAAACCGTTTGGGGGTCTAATCCGGACCAAAACATCTTGAACATGTTTTGTTGATTCTTTTCGACCTCAAATCATTTGGCTCAATCCCAACCTAAACCACAACTACCCCTAGTTCTCCGCCACAAAATCACCACTTCCACTGTAATCGCTATAGAAATATCAAAAAAATAAATCTTACATAAAAAAAATGGAAAAATCACCACAAAATCTAAACCTTAAACAAACTATACCCAATTTTCAAAAAAGTATCTCCAATATTCTTCATTTTTCCTTTTTTTTTTGGTTTTTGATTCGATTTCAACCTCCAACATGGCCACATTTTGTTAATGGCTAAAGATGGAGAAAAAACATAATCTAAAATTTGCTTTCAGTCAGATTTCACGTGAATGGTGGTGCATGGTTTATTCTGGTGGTGGTGGTGGGCGGACTCATGGTAGAGTCACAAACTTCGTAGAAAGGGAGAAAAGAAACTTTGTGGAGAAAAAAAAGATTGATAGGTTTCGTGTATGGGTACATTTGGGAATTGTGGCTTGGTGCTTTTAAAAATTTTGATGAAATGGTTTAAAGTTATACTCGAAATTCTTTTAAGAAAAAGGTCAGGTCGGGTCGAATCCAACCATCAAACCAAATTTTTGAGTTGGGTGCAAGCCCAACCCGATAATCGAATTGAATGGGCTCAAAATGAACCAAAAATCGAACTAGGTCAGGTCGGGTATTCGTCAATTTCCCGAGAATTTTGTCCACACCTAGTTTTACCACCTTAAATCTTGTTTTTATTGTTCGATCTTTACATTAAGTAATTGCAAGTTTTATTCTGTGAACTAATGTTTAACCTATCTAATAAAACATTTTTCTGTAATCCTAACATTGTTTAAAATGTTTTGACATTTAAAGTTCTATATATTGAACAATTACAATACCCTATAATATATGGATATTGGTTTTTCACGTGCCAGGTTAAATTTATAGCATTATGATAAATAGTAACTCTTATCATCTTAAGACTCACCAAAAATTAATATGTTAATTTTTAAACTTGACAGAAACAACCTATTCGACTGCCCTTCTATGATGTTTTGCGCTAGATCTAAAATTATGGAAACAAAATAAAGTTGGCCGACCAACTTGAAATTTGGCCAAAATCTTTAGTGGCCAAAAATGTTTTTTACCCAATAAATGCATATATCATTGTATCGGCAAGCTGAAAACTCCATTAATGCGAAAACATTGACAAATATAATGTTTGGTCATGTGCTTCCTATTCCAATGGAAGCAATCTGTTAGTAATATTACATTTTTTCTGGTCAAAGCAACAAGGTTAGATCATTGTGTTATTGTAGGACATGAGAAAATTTTGTCAACCTCAAACAATTACCAAATACAAGTTTTGACTGAGTTAGCAATATAGGACTAGAAGTACTAAAACGTTAACTTTTGACATCGGTACAAGGACCTACTTCCAAAGACAAGTTCACACGAAGGAGCTTATAATGACTAAGTAATATAGTTACTAGCGTGTAAAATCTTTGGGTCAACAAAAGAGAACTAAGGGATGGAAATGGTGGGTTGAAAAACTACTCATATCGGGAAGTCCAAACTTCAAAGACGAGTTGTTCTCCAACACAAAGAACCAATTTATACAAGCAAGGATAGATATTTCTTTCAAAGCAAGTAGATCTTAGAGTTTCACCAAAATGCTTTGAAATAGTGTCTAAAGTTACTAATAGCTGGATAGAAATGAAAAGGAGAGGAAAATTCGCTCTGCCTTCTTGTTCTGGAGGGAAAACTTGGACAAAACAAAGAATGGAATGGAAAGTGGAATTTTATTTCACGTCAAAAAACGTGTTAAATTTTATTAATTGCATACTAATCTAAGTAAGTGGTTTTTCCCAATACTATTTTACTCCATGAGAGAAAAAGAGAGGGAAGTTAGCTTTCCTTTCTACAATAGAATGGGAGTTTAATCATTAGATTTTACTTTTCCTCCTTATCAATCACACATACTGAAATAATTGAACAAAACCCACTATCCAAAGGCTGAACTTTACAACTAACAATTTATAAATTCTGATATTCGTAAACTCTAAACTCAATCCTAGTCAAAATATAATTCTACAGTCCAACAAGAAATGGTATTGAACTTTAGTATAATAAAACTCCTTAAATAACTTATTAAAACAAAACATAATAAATAATTTAAAAAAAGAAAAGAAAAAAAAAAAGAAACAGCAAACAAATTCTACACATAACAAAAGTAATCCAAAGCTATGTAAACATATTTAGTAACTGCATTATTTCTAATATAAAAATTTCCCCATATACTCACTCACATTCCAATTTACAAAATGCAGCAAGGACAACATGGTAGTAAAACATTTTATTGTTTTGTATGAAATTCCACATATAAAGAGAATTTCATTCTAATAAACTTTGAATTAGCAACAATTCAGCTAGCCTAGTACTGCATTTTTGGTTGCAAGGAGTCCCATAAGAGATAACAATTAAGAATATCCTAAAATATTTTCTAGGAAAGTAGGAAAAGAAATATCTGCAACGGGTTCATCGAAAACAAATTACATATTAGCAATAACTTACATTGAAGGTATACATAGTTTAGCAAATATAAATAGAACTTTCAAACCAAGGATTTGAATCAAAAGCATGTATGAAAGGGACTCTTCTGTATAAAAACATTGACAGGAGGGAAATTTATGCGCCTTACATACAAAATTAGAGTACTAAAAGATAGAACCCGACTATTCTCAAAATTCACCAGAAACAATAGTTTTCCAAATTTTTTTCTTGAAGTAAATTGTATAATTTAGGGAAATCAGTTCCTGATGTTATCCATCATTTAAGCTTTTAGAGGAGGTTGTTCAGCATAAACTTAGAAATCAAACCAAATACCTGCACTATTCAGTGGAGAACGCATTAAATCCAGGAGGCATAGGAACTGAACTTCCAAAGCTCTTAATGAAGACTGATTCTCAAACATCCAACTATCAAAGTGAAAGTCCAATGCGTCTCAATTTATATTTCAAGAAAATGGGAAACCAATATCATCTGTGAGGGAGCAATTTTCTGCTAGTGCTTCAAATTGCTGAAAACATTCATTTTCCTGTGGTCCATTTTGATGATGGGAATCATCTTCTCTTGGTACACTTTGCTGCGAAGGTGCAGCATGGTGATGTTGGTAACCAACAACAGAAAGTTGTTGATAGTTGCAACGGCTGAGACAGGCATCAAAATTACAACCAAAATCACTGCAACTTGTATTAAAACCACTTTCAGTTCGATCCCCTTGCTGGAAAATATATTGATCATCATTTGATAGAATTTCGGGGTAACTATGTGTTTTAGGTAGTGAGGACGAATGTCTTTCATAGGCCTTAACCATGTTGGGCTGGGAGGTTTTGAGGGACTGAGAATGCAAATGATTTTGAAAGCCACTGCCTATGTTGGGTTGCTTGGGCAGTCGGGTCTGCAAAAGTGCAGCAGGTCCTTGAGGCTGAAAGACCAATTGGGACTGGGAGAGAAACGAGTTTTCAGTATTGTTTCTCACATTCAATTGAGGTGTTACCTGCGATTGCGAAGGCAATACAGTAACCAAGTTGCTAGCAGGGAAGGGCTGAGAAGGCAATTGGGGTTGAGAACGCACTGAATTTGTAACTAAGTAGCTTGAATATGGTTGGGGGGACATTTGAGGTTGAGAAGGTACGCAGTTTGAATAAAAACCTCCCATGTTTGGTGGAACAGACACTCCGAGCTGGGAATACACAGTATTAGCAGTGCTGCTCCGCATTGTTGGCTGATTGGAGCTACTGTAGCTATTTAGTACCGGATCCTTCAGAAAGGGATCTCCAGAGATTTTAGACCCATAATCGCTATTGTTATACCTGCAGTTGTTGTTTGCTGAAGCTCCAAAATGTCCATTCCTTTTAAACACTGCACCAGTATGTTTGACCCGAGGGACACTGTTCCAAACACTTCGATTTCTAACACTTAAGTTACCATTGTTATTGGATGTATTTTGCAACTGTTGTGCAACCAAATATGGTTGAAATCTACTTCTGGGAACAGAAAATCCGGGTGGCTGATTTCTGCCTTGGTTTCTGATATTTAACGTGCGATAATTGGGTGGTAAAGGAGTTGATGGTAGAACTTGAGTGGTTCGTGAAAGTCCTCTCAAAAAAGAAGTATTGTCAACGCTACGAAGAACAGTAACAGGTGACACATTATCACTGTTCTTCAAGCTTTTCCTCTGAGCTCTCCAGAATTCCTCTTTTTCAGTAGCATGACAATGGTCATGACTGGAAATGCCAGTTCCCCAAAGGCAACATGGAGCAATTGACTCACAAACATAACAGTGACACTGAAATTATAAGTAGAAATCAAAATGTAGCATTTGTACTCAAACCAAATGCTAAGGAAAATTTAAAGAGGCAAGAGCTATAATCTGGAAAATTACCTGGTCACAACGCCTCTCGTGGGGAGTAGAAGCAAATGGAAATTTAGCGCAAAGATGCCGCGGGTGAGGAAAGTCTCTGCATGCAACCTATGATAAGCAATGTCAAACAACATCTCATACAACTAAACCAAACAGTAAGTCAATTTTTTTGTAAGGTGGAAATGATTTTAACAGAACTAAGCAAATGTTAAATAATACTACATTAAAATGAAGAAGAACAAGGCTCTTGGATCCTATGTGATAAAAATAATAATCACGGGCAACACTAACCATGCATTTAAGTCTAGAAAAATGAAGATAATCTAAGAACTGAATCTGAAACGATCCATTAGAGAAAAAGAAGAAGACAAGATGTGCCATTTAAAATTGTCTCAATTCACAATGAGTAAGATGTGCCAACATATTACTACAATTCATTCTTTGCGAAGACTAAATAACTAAAAAATTGTAATGCACAACACTCATTGAATTAAAGAAATCAAACACGTAAAGTCAAACAAGCTGTACAGCTCAAATCAATCATGACATTCGAGTAAGATGAAGTGATCTTATAAAAGCCAATGGATAAACACTGCAAACCCACATCCTAAAGAAGTCCAACCGTTTCATATTATCCTCTTAAGGAAACATTAAATCAACAATTATTTCACTTGTGTTTAGATATGATGTTCATAAAATATACATTTGCATTTTGGTTGTGTCAATAAAACACGTCAGCTTCCTTCTTTCAAATCTCATGATATCCAACTGAAGCTGAGCTGCAAATTATTTGAAGTCAATTATAACCCTCATTCTCCATAAATTTGTGATGAGCTTCCTTATTTTTCATCATCTTGTTTGGTTCATAGCTACATATGCAATCGTTCGCAACCACATCAACAAGTTCATTATCTTAAAGTAGTAAATAGAAAAATATAATGCGGTTGTCTTACCTTCACCGCAGAGCAAGCTTAAACAAATAGATTAAATAAACTAGATGAATGCATATTAAAGAGCGACACTGCAAAAGCTCCTCGTTGGTTTAATTTTCCCAACTTAGTTTTATCAACTTTGAACTAATTAAAATTATCTGAAAAAAAAAAAAAACAAAACAAAAAAACTAAACATTGCATCTAAATAATCAATACGAATGCACCAACTTTCTTGCCTCAAAAAGAACGTGGAAAAAATAATATAAAATCAAATACCTGACCCTTTTCTGCAATAACCACCAAATCATCTGAATCATCAATGTTGACTCTGCCATCTTTAACTGCCAACAACTTATCCGGGTCGCCATCCAAAATCACACAATCATCGTCGTCAGAATCCTCAATTTTTGCAGTGGGCTTCAAAGGTAGTATGTTTGATTCTCCCGTGACCGGAATAGCCTCTCTTACAACCATTGCATCATCGGAATCAACTGTATTCGCGTCCACCTCGGCTAATAGCTTCGATAACCAATCATGGTTTTCTACATCCCAAGCGTCATCACAACCTTCTTTTCTGGTCTCCCCAAAACCGGCCTCCTCATCGGAGCTTATCCCGAGTATTTCCGGGGCGAAATTTTCCATCGAGAATCAAGAACCTTCACTTCTTAAAGATTTTATGAAAATTAACAGCAATCGTCAGTTTCCTCGCTTCAGCACATAAAATTCAAATTAGCTAATGATTTCTGAAAAAGAGAAGTGTTGGAATATATCAAAGAAACTTCAGAGTTTCACCTTTTGGGAAATTTCCTGGAAAAATTCTTAAAATCGTTTTAATAATAAACCAAGAAAAAAGGTGAATAACCGCTTCATTATTAGGACTAATATCACAAAAAATAATAATAATAAATAAATAAATAAAATAAAGATTGACTAACCTGAACTTGAAATGGAAAAATGATACAACATGAGAATTTACTAAGAGAGATAGAGAACGCCAGAAAACCCTAATGCCTGAAATTGAAAGGCGTTCGTTTCACCCACTTTTGAAAAGCAGAGAGCCGTTTCTATTTTCAGTTTCCACTCCCGCGTAGTGTGCGTGTGCCTGTGTTGTGTGTTGACTCGCCACTCACTTGTGAGTAAGCGAGGGAGAGCACAAAAATGAAAATTTATATATATATGTGCACATACGTGTATCTGATATATATATATATATATATATATATATATATATACACGCTTTTATGGCAAATTACATCTTTTAATAAATCCAATATATCGAATTTTTAATAGAATAATGTTATTCACAATCGTTCACTGCAATAGTCATCTTATATGACATACACATGACAAGTAATTATTTGATACATTAATGCGATAATTTTTTATTAACTTATCTATTAAATAACTACTTGCTATGTGTGTTCCACATAAGATAATTACTGCAATGAGCAATTACAAATAGCATTATTGTACCTTTGGATTACGATAATTTTGCAATCACAATATGTAATCAGATTTATAAACTTTATGACTAGATTACAAGATCTTCGTAATCCAACGGTACAATGTTAAAAAATTTGAAAATTCAATTTATGTAATTTTTTGCGTTCATGTTATATTTGGCAAATGACTGTGTATGCATTTTTTCTGCAAATTATTGTTGACACACTAAAAGTGCAGTCCAAATCAAATAGCCCAAAGAGTGAAACCCAACTGGGGAGTTCAAGATAAAGATCCAAACACGATTATTGATGAATGCAGTGGAAGCCCACGAACATAGTAATATCATCGCCCAAACTTGCAAGACACCCAGAATCTGAGCGAATGGAATGCCTTACGGTCGCCCAGAGCGATGACCCCGTTCTCGCCCAAACTTTCGAATCGCCCAGGATCTTAACAAATATAAAATATTATGGTTATCCAGAATAGCAGTTATTGAGTAATCTTATCACATTCCACAATTCAAGGAGCCCAGTTGAAGGCGGTTGAACGACAAAGAGTAATGGTAGCAGTTAGAGACGGCAGTTCCACGACAAGTTAACCACCATAAAGAAAGTAGGTACTTATAAAGCAATTACGCAATTTCCAAGCGGTTTGCCACGAGAAAATTATCAAGGGAATATAAAAAGAAAGAGAAGACATAGAGAAAAGGGCGAAATCAAACACTCTCAAATAGAGAATATGTAATTTTAGTTTCTTAATTTAAATTTAAACACTTCTTTTAGTACTCGTGTGCTTGTGCCCCTTGGAGGTATTCTGTTTATTTCCAATTGTAAATTATCATCAATAAAATACCCTTTTTTGGGACTTTGTCTCAAGAGGTCCGTTCCTTACACAATCGTCTGATCCCTTTTTTAATTGTTAGCGACTACTCGCACGAAACAATTTGGCACGCCCAGTGGGACCTTGGTGTTTGGTGTTGAGGATACAAAAAGTAAAACAATATGCCTCACAAATCTGATAAGGAAGCAGCAAGTCAGGGAGGAGTCCAATCTGTGATCGAGCGATATGAGGAGTAGCAAAGCTCTCTACGAACAGAGGGACAGAGTCAGAGTAGTCACAGTCGTTACGAACCAATGACAGAGTTGAGTCTTCGAACCATGCGTGCATTGCTTGGAGAACTCACACAGGATGTCACTGAACAGGTAAATCTACGAAATATTCATAATATGGAAAGATTTACCCAAAATGGGAATGCACATTATGACAACATGGTCAAACAATTGAATACATTAAATGAAATAATGTATAAGTTAGTAGGCCAAATTTGTCAGCCAGTTGTGCCTATTGCAAGTCACTTTTAAGTTAGAACAATTGTAGGACATAATTCCCCAGTCCTAAGTCCAAATCAAGGGATAGAACCACCTTTTGGTCCGTCTACTTCAAACCAGGGAATGGTGTAATGCCAAATCGGAATAGTGGTAATGGTACATCTAACTTCAGGGTAACCTAAATGTAAGAGACAATGTCCTAAATAATGGACAGAATACCCCACGTGTTAATGATGGAATAAATATTCAGGTTAATGGTAACAATGACCCAACTCATGGCAACTTTGTTGCCAACCAAGGACCAAACATCAGGCCTCAGACAAATCAACCGATCAACCAACCTGTAGGAATTCCATACGACCCCAACGTCATGTTAAGAAATCAAATTATGGAAATAGTACAGGATCAAATGGCTTTTAGGGTATGTCCTGTCATTAGGCCGACTTACACAAAACCATATCCTGATTGGGTAGACCAAGCATATCCATGGCTTAGAGGGTATAAAGTGTCAGAATTCTCATTATTTACCGGTTTAGAAGAGATGTCTACTCTAGAATACATAGGACGATTCACACTGCAAAGTGGTGAAGTAACCGACTACCATAAAATGAGGTTGTTCCATAGTTCATTAACAGGAGTAGATTTCTCCTGGTTCATCAATTTGCCAGCGAACTCTGTTCAAACATGGCAACAATTAGAGCAATTGTTCCATGCTCAGTTTTATAAGACTGAGTTTGAAGTTACTTTGGCCGATTTGGC